AAGCAGATAGCGGAGGCAAATTAGAGCAATATGGTTTATTAATGGTTGGAGTAATTTGGATGCGAGTGTGCGGTGGCGTGCTGTCACGCGGGGCGGCGACGTCGCGGGCCGCGCCATCGATTGTTCGTGGCATGTCGCCTGTGGCCGCCGCGCACGAACTGCCTCGATACACCAGATAAGATAGATTCGGAACTTGCCGACTCCGCGTGATAAGCCAGAACAGTACATTAAATTAATTAATGGGTTTCTGGGTTAACGACCCTCCTGGACATTTAGGGACTTACTCGAATCTTTAGGCTCTGGTAGTATAAATGGTTCTGTATTTTTCAGTTGAAAAGCTGATCTATGATATAAATAAATGGAAACTAACCCAGGTGCATATCCATTGTTAACACTGTCTCCTTAGCTCATCTGGCCTTGACTCCTCATTTTTCACCAATGTCTGGTTTCCGTCAATTTCTAAGGACCAAAGAAGAATATTATTATTTTTATTTTTAATATTATACAAATTCAATGGCAAAGAACACATTGTGGGGTCTAAGTCAAGCCAAATACTCCATTAATTTGTCTCTGGTAAATTATAGTTCTCTTACAAAGGGAACCGACGAGTATCTTCGTAATCTCATTTAAGTAGGTAAGTAGGTACCTATGAATATTAACCCTTTAACAGCCGTTCACGTGCTTAGTCCGTGATTATATTATGACTCGCTTTTCGCCCGCGGCTTCGCCCGCGTGGAATTTTGTCTGTCACAGAAAAACTTTATCGCGCGCGTCCCAGTTTCAAAAACCGGGATAAAAACTATCCTATGTCCTTTTCCGGGACTCAAACTATCTCTATGCCATCAAAATCGGTCCAGTGGTTTAGGCGTGAAAGCAAGACAGACAGACAGAGTTACTTTCGCATTTATATTAAGTATTAGTGTAGAATAATATTAATATTCCGGCGGTTATAGTGTTAATAAATGGATTTGAACGCCTGTTGTACCCACTCCTCTAAAGGTTAGAGACAATACACTCGAAGTTGTTGACAATTATGTATACCTGGGACAAACAGTTCAGTTAGGTCCAACTTCGAGAAAGAGGTCCATCGTCGAATCCAACTCGGGTGGGCAGCGTTCGGGAAGCTTCGCGATATTCTCACGTCCGAAATACCGCAGTGTCTCAAGACAAAAGTCTTTGACCAGTGTGTGTTGCCAGTGATGGTATACGGAGCTGAGACGTGGTGGCTTCTATGGGCCTCATAAGAAGGCTCAAGGTCACCCAAAGGCCGATGGTGCGTGCTATGCTCGGAGTTTCCCTGCGTGATCGAATCAGAAATGAGGAGATCCGTAGGAGAACCAGAGTGACTGACATAGCCCGCAGAATCGCTAAAATCAAGTGGCAGTGGGCGGGGCACATAACTCGGAGAGCTGATGGCAGCTGGGACAGGAAAGTTCTTGAGTGGTGACCACGAGCCGGAAGACGTAGTGTGGGCAGGCCTCCCACTAGGTGGACCGACGATCTGGTGAAGGTCGCGGGAGGTGCCTGGATGCGAGTGGCGCAGGACCGGTCTTCGTGGAAATCCTTGGGGGAGGTCTTTGTCCAGCAGTGGACGTCTTTCGGCTGAAACGAACGAAATGGATTTATATTGAGAAAACTGCGTAGAACAGAAACAAATGTATTATTTGGTAATAATCAGTTTATTATTATAACATTACATTACTTACAATAAAATTGGAAATACAGTTCCCAACGTGGATTCACCTTGATGCATTTCAAGGCACAATACACAAAAATGACATCACATTTTACTTAAAATCTATATTTTCGTATATTATTACGTGTTATTATTTTCAGATTTTTATATAAATCAGAAAAAATATTGATTTAACTATGAACAATACGATTTCATAAAATAAATTTATTATTTCATAACATGTTTTCATATTAATAAGATTATTTCATACTCACTCATAATAAAATGTATTTGAATCGATTACACAATAAAAGTAGGTACATAAATTTTTGTTATTGTATTGCATAAAAGGATGACCCGAAATAAGTAATTGAATATGAGAATTTCTGTAAATCTTATTTGGAACACCGTGTATAAAAATGCAAAAAGAATTAGTTATACTTACATATTTTGTACACTTTGGCAATTTGTAAGCGAAAAGTATTTTTTTTCTATTTCATGGAAGATTGGAGTACTTCAATTATCTACATTTATTTCAACATAGAAGGCAATCTTATGCATATTTTGAACTGGGATTTAGTTATTGAGTACGGAACAATAAATCTTTCAAGTAAGCGAGAATCTGGAATGTATTTTTTCGGCGTGCGTGACCCTTAACGCCGAAAAATATTCACATTCCTGCTAAGTGCTAGGTTTAATGTTAGTGACAGTAAATTTTATTGCAATTTTACGCACAAAGTTTCTGAGATCAATATGATTTCTTTAAAATATTAAACATAAACAAACATGTTAGTGTACAATATACTCATTGTCTCCATTTATTTTTAAATTTTTGGAGTAACAAATATTAACTGCAAATCAGACTGGTATCGTAGACTGGTCCTACTTATCACAAAAATCATTAAAAGCTTCTAATTTTAACAATTTTACATTATAAGAGACACTGATTTTTAAATAAAGTTTGTTGACTGTTCACAAATTTTATTTGTTAGCACCCAGCATGTTCCTGTTATATTACTTTGGCATACAAAGGCAGTGATCAGAAAATATATGTTTGCATAGTTACTGAGGAGTTAGCAGTTAGTGTTGTGCTAATACGATTATAGTTCTTGCAACTCACGAAGGCGAGTGAGCTTTACTTGTGTGTGTGTACGTGTACCTACATGCAAATAACGATAGCTTATGATTAATGTCTATCAAAACCTTTGAAAAACCAACAGTAGCGACCCCCCACACATGTAAAGCTCACTCGCCTTCGTGAATTGCAACAACTATAGTAGATATTATGATTACTAAAGTAGGTTAGTTTTATCATACGTTGCTGGAATGTTTTGTTAAAATATTATTTCAAGTTACTTGGTTATTTTATGATTACATTAATGAATAATTTGCATTTCATAAACGGCGCTATCCTCAAAATTAGTTTATACTTGTAATTCCTATGCAAATTTTTTTACGATTTCATTTAATTTAAAAAGTTACACCATACTTACTTACTCAACAGGCTTTCTGTTACAAAAATACGTATAGTTTTAAGCAACAAGCACAAGTTATCGGGAAAAGTTTAAAAACAGTAATTATATCTATTGTTATATAAATTGATTAGTTGTAGGTACACGATTTTATCAAAAACTATTTATAATTAATAAACTGGTAACTAGAATCGTAAATTGGTCTAATTTCAAACAAGCTGCCCGAATTCATATAAAATAATGTACGAAAGAACGAAGTTTTGAAATAAAACATACTTGTGTATAAATCATTGCGGCAAAAAAATTGAAATAGATAAAAAAGTTTTGGGTCGAGTTCGACAGTAAAAAGTTTAATAGAAATAATAGAAAATTAAGAATTCTTTCTTATTTCTTTTATTCTAATCACTTTAGCTTGTTTGAAATCTATAATTATATTTTCTAATCAACATTTCTTACAACGTTTCTAAATTATTATTATTATTTTAGTCTTACATGTCAAGAGGTCTTGACGAAAAGGAACAAATTTTTTATTGTGCCAATTGTTTAAAATGATTAATTTTACTAGCACCGAATCAGACTTATATCATACATATATCTTCATATACATAATATTCATCACCACGTCTCTATGTGTTTTTATTATCTTTTATTACATTATTTATAATCTATTATACAATTATTAGGTACATTATATTCTTAATAATTCATACGTGTAGAATAATTCATAATTATTGATAAAGCATTCAACAATTTTAAACTAACATACCTTGTGACTTTATTATTCTTTTTGTTTTATTTTCCCTGAATATGTTTTGGTTATTTATATAATAAAATATGTATTTCACCTGTGAAATATTTTGGCGTACACATAACATTCAAAACCTTGGTTATATATTGATGTTTCTTATCTTTTCAAAATATGTACTTTTGTAATATTATTCGAGAAATTTTATAAAGGATAATTTGAGAAAAAAAAATTAATGCAAATATAAATCTCCGACTAAAAAAGCACGGATCTAATCTTCTTTTAATTTATTATAGTGACGGATGAAAATAATTATCACAAAATTGACTTTATTTGTACTACTTTCGGCCATTTGTATACCTGATCTGATCAAATCTGTATGTAGGCATGTCAGGCATTTTATTATTATTAGTTTAATATAAACAAAGGAGGACATTATGTCGTCAATAGATATTATAATTGTAGTAAACTAACTACAAAGATCGGACAATTACCTACATCATTGTTTATTGTACGTCCACAGATTTAACATTACGTTGAATATAAAAAGGTAGTAAAATTAGGCTTGAGTTTTTGAAACTTTGAGTTGGCAAGACGCCTCGATAAATTATAAAAGGCTATAAAATACTTGATTAATAAATAACTACCTTTATGCGCTTTACATAAAACTACATTCTTTAAGGCGGCATTTTATTCAAGCGATTATAAATCCATAAATTCAAGAATATGGGGCAAGTATTTTGTTTTGTGTAAACTACATTTGGTATCACCGTAGACTCTGCCACATTGGCGTTAGTGTATCTGTCGTAATCTATATAAATAAAAATGAATTGATGTTCGTTAGTCTGATTAAAACTCGAGAACGGCTGGGCCGATTGAGCTGATTTTGGTGTTAAAATGTTTGTCGTAGTCCAGGGTAGGTTTGAACGGTGAGCAAATAAGGAAAGATTTGCTTATTTATTGGCTTTAAGGCAGAACAAAGTTCGCCGGGTCAGCTAGTTTGAAATATAGATGACCCACGCTGAACTGTCCCGCCAAACTCAATGACAGGGGGGCGCTACCATCGTTCAACTATATGGTTTCCAACATGGCAAAAATCGGAACCAGCGATCCGGTATTGACGGTGGCGCCCCACTGTCAATGTCATGCATAGGACAGTTCAGTATTTTGGAACTATAGTACACTGGATTTAGGAAACTTCAAAAACCACGTGTTGTTTGTATCACGCTGATAATGTGGCAGTAGTGCGTGTGTTAAGTTCTGACAGTTTACGTGAATTAATTTCCACAGACGATCTTTATGGTAAAAGTCAATTAAAGATTTTTTGTATGGATGAGATCTTTCAGATTTAATTTTTGAATTATCACTTCTTACAAAATAGGCTCGTTCGAGAAAATAGGAATAGGTTGTTTTAATGTTAATAGTTATTGATAAATAGTTACATTGCTCTCCTTTAAAGTAGCTAGGTTTTAGCAACACTGGGACACCAGAAGCTCCGGAAATTGGCAGATCTGAGGTTACAATACTGGTTCTGACGAAAATTATTTAAAGTCGACTGCATACGACAACACAACATTTTTTGTAAAATAGAACTACAATAAAATAAGATGCCAGTGTCTAGCTTGATGTACCGTACCTGTACAATACAAAAACTTGTGCACATTTTTTTCTACAGAAAAAAAGATCTATAAGGCACAAGACCTATCATTATAATAATAATAATGACCTAATTCACTGTCAGAACTTCACAAACACTGTGGCAATACTCGACGTGTTACTTGTAAATGACATTACCTAGACGTCCGCCATTTTGTTATTACGTGATGACGAGCCTGGGGGTAGGCAGAATCTCCGTGTGCTCGCCGAACATTAGGGCAGCCATCCACTTGAGCTGATCTTCTGTTACCGCACCAGCGATAGTGCACCCGAACCATGGGCGGTCTTTTCCTCTGTAAAGGTAGATATGATAAAGGTTAGGCAGAAGATCCTGTAAGTACCTATCTAAATATATACAGGGTGTTAGGTAAATGGGTATATGAGCCGACACTAGCCCATGTTAACATGGGCATATAAATGGTATGGTGAAGTCAGAAAATTGATATCTTCATTTTAATTATTTTAATTTTCATACAAATCGGATCTTATAAAATTTATTTTGTATGAAAATTAAAANAAATCGGATCTTATAAAATTTATTTTGTATGAAAATTAAAAAAAATAAAATGATGATATCAAATTTCTGACTTCACCATACCATTTATATGCCCATGTTAACATGGGCTAGTGTCGGCTCATATACCCATTTACCTAACACCCTGTATAACTCAAAGGTGACTGACTGACTGACTGACATAGTGATCTATCAACGCACAGCCCAAACCACTGGACGGATCGGGCTGAAATTTGGCATGCAGGTAGACGTTATGATGTAGGAATCCGCTAAGAAAGGATTTTACGAAACTCCACCCCTAAGGGGGTAAAACGGGATCCAAGCGTACGAAGTCGCGGGCGGCCGCTAGTTTCTTATATTTTATTTACACACATACAAGAGCTGCATCAGGGCCCCGATTGCGCTAATTTGTAATGTCAAATCATTTGCGTTTCATCTCCAGTCACCCTCCATTTTCATTCCAACTGATGTACAATTCGGTATCGTGATAAAGTTCACGCGTAAACAAAATGATTAAGTATACACTTTTCATTAAGAGTCCGAACACCTTATTTTTGAAACTAAAATTACTAAAACACAGCAAAATATTCGTGAAGCGTTTGAATTGCGTTTGAGAGCTTTCTGTCAACATTAACGTTAAGGTGCAGTTGTGCTCCGTTTACATTACATCTTCTTTTCAACTTACTGTCAAAACGATACCGCGATACGAATTTATCAACTGATTTTCGTTCGTCTTCCAGTCGCGTTGCAGTTGAAATTTTTTAGCGTAATCGGGGCCCAGTTGGAGGCGTAAGTAGTTGGGAATGGTTATGTCAATGGACAGAAGGTCCAGAAGATTTGACTTCACAGAAACTACAGTAATGGGACGAGATATACTCCTATTTGTAAACAAAAGGAAGTGCCGCAGTGGAAACGAGAGGTAGGAATAGCCCATTTCATATTTAAAAGTTTTTGTAAAATGTATTACCTACTAATTATACGAGTGACAACAAATGGAAAGAGAGGTGGAAATAGTTATTCACATGCTTGAGTAGAGGATCCTATAGCTGGATTTTGGCTACAAAGGAACGGTAGTGGGAACGAGTAGGAAAAAAGATCTTGTTCACACTGCCTGACTACACTTGAATTTCCTTATTTAAACCACAATCTGTGAAATGTTTGTAGCCTCGAAGAATTCAATCTGCATAGATCGTGCCATCCACGAAGACGCCCCCACCATTCTTCCGCTAATGTTTGAGTGTTATCGGTACACGCGAAATTATCCATGAGTGCACACGTACCCTACAATAATGACGTTCGGATTGCTCGGATCCATAGATCACAGAAAATAAAGGGAAATGTGAAAAGGGGGCGGGGCCGGTGTCGCAGCAATATGCTCAAAAACAGAACACATTGCCCGCGACAGCAATGATGACATAAGTGACATCATATTTTGTCAAAAAGTTTATATTGCTTGCATTTGGTACTACAAATATTATAATGAGCACATTCACACTAACATAATGGACATGGTGCACAATTTTTGTTGAAGATGCCAAAAAAAACTACAAAAAATTAGAATGAATACTGTATTTTTATTTTTTTGATATCTTTAAAAATTACTGAAATATTCAAGCTCAAAGTGCGCTCTTCCGCTCGGAGCGATTTTCCGCGCGGATTTTGAAAATGTGACGTAGTAACATGAAAAGCAGCATGCAAGATATTATCTGTGTACAATGGTTAGAATGGTTAGTAGGGGAGCCGAAGCGGGGATTTCGGGACTTACTAAAGAGTGGCAGACTAACATACAAGGAAATACTTTGTACCTGGTTGATTACCTCTAAGTATGAATTTTTGATATAAAACGGCATTAGTTCTTATGCCTCTCACCCAAAAAATACCTCAATTAAGCCCAAATTTGAGACCGCAGCCAAACTTTGAGTGACGATGGAAACTAGCCTAGATGGAGGTCACATGAAATTGAACTTCTGCTTCTTCATTGATAAAGACTTATCATTTACCATACCTTATAATTTTGTATTCCATTTTCAAGTCACTTTTTTTTCGCTTACTGTTTAAACAAAACGTGGTAAAATTTTATTTTAGTTGGAAAAAGACAAAAAGTGGTAAATGGGTTAACGTGCGGGGGCTGCAAAATCATGTTGTAACGTCACGCGCGAATATTGGAAATTTTTGAAAATTTTAAAAAGTCCGTAAACTTCTCGAGGCTCTATCTTCGGTAATACTGGATGGATTGAGGTGAAATAAAAACTAGTGTAATGTGTGTGATCTAAACTTTAAATTAAGTCATAATTTAACTTAATATTACAACTTATGCGTGTTGTCCATTGATTCAATCGCACTTCACTGCGTATGTAGTGGTGTTGTACGTACATTACTTGCAACCTGGTAGGTATGCGGATGAATAGTAGCACTGAATGCAATGTGTGCAAGACACTCTCGTCGTATTGTTTTTATTTTGATTACTCTGTATGTGTGAATTTCTAATGCGACAGTGAGTCGAACTCAACGCATTAGTTGGCATCTCTCTAGATCGGATAAAACTCCCCGCATCCCGCGCTTCCCTCGACCAAAAATTGGTGGGGAGCGTCTTCGTGAATGAACTCACCTCTTCTGTTTGTTATTACGCGGAATGAAAGTGATGGCCCACCGAGACTGCGGGTTCCGTTTAGGTTCGTGCCCGGTGTACCATAGGATGTCTTTCACATTCCATTCTTCGATCTTGTGCGAACCCTGTAAAGAAAAATAATATTGTTTCTATTTAACAGCAAAATGGAAAAATGCATCAAGCTGTTTAATATTTCATCTCATCAAAATCAAAATCAAAAAATATTTATTCAGTTTAGACCACAAGTGGCACTTATGAATGTCAAAATATAGTAAATAACAAAAAAGAAAAGGTAGCCCTTATATGGGGCACTTTACATGTCTCCTTATCTTTTGGGCCCATCTTCATCATCATCATTTCAGCCACAGTAGTCCAGTCATTTAAGCTTAAATTAGGTAAGAATCTCGGAATTCGAGATACCCAGCTGTAAGTCTGTAAATAGTTGTAGGTATGTTGACATCCTAAAAGTTGTCTCAAAACCTACATATGGTAGGGTGTAAGCAACTATTAAATTTTAAGGTCAAAGGTCACAAAAATCGTTTTTTTGCGCTTTTTTTGGAAAAATCTCATTTCCTATGGGTTTTTGCTATTTGTATTTATTATCAATATTGTAGAATACAAAATTCTCTACAAATTTTTTTCAAAAAAATTTTTTATACGTTGAACCGTTTTCGAGATATTATAGTCGGCCGCTAGTACTTATAATACATCTGTAGAGAGGTCAATTCTGTACATGAAATATATTTTCAAAATAACTATCAGGGGGTGATTAGTGATCGATACTGATGCCAAAAATGCAATCAGTAAAATTTTTGTCTGTCTGTCTGTCCGTCTGTATTCTCTGTATGTTCCTTATAGAAACAAAAACTACTCGACGGATTTTAACGAAACTTGGTACAATTATCCTTCATACTCCTGGGCAGGTTATAGTATACTTAGGAATTCCCACGGGAACAGGAATTAGCGGGAAAATCCTTTTGTATGAAAAATCTAAACCGCTTAAGTTAGACGCTTGAAATTTGGCATGTAGGTAAGTATCTTTTTTTTTTTTTAATTTGGGCGCTTCGAATTTCATAGAGAGCGCGGCGCTATCGGTTTACGCGTTGCTCTCTCCTACGTGATTTGGAATTTTAATTGTTGAAAGATTTTAGGTTGCTAACTATGTTTTCAATGTGGGTGGTAAATGTTGTTATAGAATCTTGCTTAGTTATAATTTGTTGGAAATTGAATGGGTCGATGTTGTAAATTTGGCAAACTATAATTATGGCTAAGTCTTGTTGATTGAAATCTTGGGCAGTCCAACGAGATGCAACATTGATTGGGTGATTATATTATCACAGGGACATGTGTCGTTGTCAGTAATCTTGAATATGTGGAGGTATTCTTTATGGTATCCGTGGTTTGTGAGTAACTGAGTAATAGAAAAGGAGGGTTTGATATGTGATATGAACTCGATAAGATTTTCATACGAAGGGAGCCAGGATTTGGTGTACGCGCAATTATCTGGTGTAGAGTAGAGTTTTTTGGATTCCTGTTCTGATATTATTTATTTTTGTGTTTAATGTAGCTTATGGGAACTTTATTAAAATCAGGAATTGTCTCTAATGAAGCCGCAGCCTTAGCAGCCAAGTCAGCTGCCTCATTACCACCAATGCCTACATGAGCCTTGACCCATATTAACTCTATGGTTAATCGTGCAACATGAGCTTTATGGATTAAGTGGTGTATATTAACAGCAAAGTAAACTTAAAGCTTAGTTACAATAAGGAATTCCCGAAATTACCACGGGAACGGGAATTAGCAGGAAAATCCTTTTGTATGAAAAATATAAACCGCTTAAGTTGATCTGAAGTGATGCAGTGACTGCGCGCTCTCCGCCCTCTATCTCGAAAACGGTTCACCATATAAAAAAATTTTTTAAACAAAATTTGTAGAGAATTTTGTATTCTAAAATATTGATAAATAAATACAAATAGCAAAAAACCCATAGGAAATGAGATATATCTAAAAAAGCACAAAAAAACGATTTTTATGACCGTTGACTTTGAAATTTAATAGTTGCTTACACCCTACCATATGTAGGTTTTGAGACAACTTTTAGGGTGTCAATATACAAGTATTTACAAACTTACAGCTGGGTATCTCGAATTCCGAGGTGAACTTACTATAATGACTGGACTACAGGACATCTTATGGCCTAGGCCTATATTCAGCACTAACATAGGCCTCCCCCAATGACTTCCACATCACACGGTTGGTAGCGGCCTGCATCCAGAGCCTTCCTGTTACCTTTATCAGGTCGTTCGTCCACCTTGTGGGTGGACGTCCCACGCTGCGTCTATTGCGAACATTTCATGTTTTGTATGTTAAATGTAATTAAATGTTCTATGACTTGATACAAAGAATTCTACCGAACGAAGGGCTTGAAAGTCACTTTCATACCTGTTTGTCCTTGAAATAGCAAAGTTTGCTATTTTGTACTTCAAACATGTGCAATTTGAAGGATCTCATAGATTCCGTTGCTAGCTTCAGTTCTCCGCAGACGAGGGAATTGGAGTGCCTCAGAGCTTCGATCTCGTTTAGTATTTTATTGTCTTTCACTAGAAGGTAGTTGGCTTTTCTGTCTTCTTCGTCCCAGTAGCCCCACCTAAAACAAAAAAAAAAGAAAGAATTAATCATCAAAGTAATGACAACAAATCAAGCAATGGTAACTGATTTATTCTTAAACTAGCTTTTGCCCGCGGCTTCACCCGCGTGAAATTTAGTTTGTCACAGATCGTCATAAATTATCCTACGTGTTATTCTGGGTTATAAACAATAATACTGTAAAGTTTCATCAAAATCCGTTCAGTAGTTTTGCGTGAAAGAGTAACAAACATCCACACAAACTTTCGCATTTATAATATTAGTAGGATTAGTAGGCACAGTCGTCGACACGATAAGAAGAAAAAGTAGGCACAGGCCTAATTATCTCCCCGAGAAGGCATCGAAAACGGGCATAGTAGCAGACATTTTTTAAATATTTTCGCAAAGAAATTTCTGTACGTAGTACATATTATTACTATTCTGTGGTAGGCGTCAAATATAAGAAAATTAACACTACTAAAGCCCGGTCTGTGAGCACGTAGAATTTTGTCCAATGACCCCAAGCTACCCATCCGCGCACTGTGCGGCGGGCGCCCGCAGTAAGTGTGCGAGCGCGACAGCAACATAATTACGCGCGAGCGATAAGGATGGGTAGGTTGGGGTCATTGGACAAAAATCTACGTGCTCACAGTCACAGACCAGACTATACCACCACTGATACATGATGCAGACTGCTACCAACTTCCAATCTGGAAAACATTGAAGGAGTCCTGTGTTCAGCAGTGGGCGTCCTGTAGCTGAATAATGATGGCGATCAACTGATGATGAATGAGTTTACTGACCTTAACACCACATCAAGGACCACCTCATCGATGTGGACTATGCGCCTCATAGACTCGTTGCAAATCACTTCCTCGATCATGAGCTGATGTGACTCCATGTTGGCTTTCTCACAAAGCTCTATGCATACATCTGCACACGTCTTGTTTGGCGTCAACTGTAAATAAAATAAGAAGGTGTGTAGCATCAAGAACTCACTGGATGATAAAGTTAAGTTTGCAATTGCAATTACATATCGCTTCAGTTATCAGTCAGCCAAACTAATTTCACTTTTTAAAAATCCCAATTAAGAAAGCAGCTTCCGATTCCAATGAGGTCTCCGGCAACGACTTAAGACATCTAGAACACTTTTCGATCGAAATTAAAATGTTTGCCATGAATTTCATTTAACCAATCATACACCAGATTGCAACCCTTTCATATTTTTATCGACAATGGTGATCTGATACGTACCGTAACTTGGTGACACGTGCTTCTGTTCTTGACGTAGATCCACGCTCGGAGGTCTCCCGCAGCCTTCTTCGGCGCGGGCGCCGCTGCCCCCAACACCGTCATTAGAACGCGACGGACTGCTGCTTCCCGTCTCTTTTCCGCATCAGTGGGCTCCCACACCGCTTCGAAATTCGCTATCAGATCTCGAACCACGAACACCTCTCTGGTGGACCACGCAGTTTGGAGTTTGTCGCTTGTCTGAAAAAGTGAGTAGGTGTGTCTTTGTGTGATGTTCATTTAATTATTTTTGTACTTTAGCCACCGTAATTATAAAAATTATTCACTCGTTTAACGCTTGTTTATAGTGACGTTAAGTATAAAAACGTCACTTTACTGTTCAACGAGTGTAACTTATTTATTTATTTAGTTTATTCAGAAACTCAACAGCTATATTACATTTTTTTAGAATATTTTTCTTACAATGGTGGCACTTAAGCTAAAAAAGAGTTCCATGACATGCAATAATGTTCGTACATTATAATATCTATTGTTATTAATATTCATTTATACATTTCTTTCTTTCCATATACATTATACTTACGCAGGGTGAAACCGAAAGGCACCGCCAAGCTTTAGGAGCGACTAAGGATTAGTAACTTAATTTAATTTAATTTAATTTAATTTAATTTAATTTAATATAATTTAATTTAATTTAATTTAATTTAATTTAATTTAATTTAATTTAATTTAATTTAATTTAATTTAATTTAATTTAATTTAATTTAATTTAATTTAATTTAATTTAATTTAATTTATTAGTAACTAGCTTTCCGCCCGCGGCTTCGCCTGCGTGGAATTTTGTCTGTCACAGAAAAACAATATCGCGCGCGTATTTGCTCACCGTTTAGACCTACCCTGGACCACGACAAACATTTTAAAACCAAAATCAGCTCAATCGGCCCAGCCGTTCTCGAGTTTTAATCAGACTAACGAACATCAATTCATTTTTATTTATATAGATAGATGTACGAAATTACTGATTTGCACATTAAACCTGTCTATACTGTTAGTCATTTTCAGGTTTACTCTTGATTTTCTCTAGGCATCCAAGGTAACAGAATAATTTTGACTTTTACTTAGAGTGATCCTATATAGGATCCCAATAAATCTGATTTTTACGTATAATATTTGGACAATAATTAGAAGTGTTTTCACCAACAGCCAGACAGTTTTGACAGTTCCAACTCCTTGCCAGACAGTTTTTTTAGGGTAGCTCCCAAAGCCACGATGACCCAAACTTCAGAATTTACCAACATTATATCCTATATTGGGAGCATACGCTGACAAACTTTCAGCTTTTATAAAATGACGTAGGTCTGGCGTTCACTAGCTCTTAGTCTATAACTTACGACTGCAGCGGGCATGATGGTGGGCGCCCATACAGACGCCAGATTCTCCGCGCTCATTTTGTTGGCATGCGCCATAGTCGTCAAAAAGTGCAGGTGCGCGAACAGTTTCCTGGCGGTGTTGCGCGCGACCAGAGGCAGTGACGTCATCACATTGCGGTACTCCGCGTGGCGTGCTGCGTCCTCTTTTATCTCTGGAAAGAAAGCGATGGGAATCAGAATGAGGCGGAAGCAGCAATAGGAATAATATTCCATGTTACTCATATTAGGAATATCAGAACTGACGTCATACTGATTGTTGAGGCATCTTGGATGAAAGACGGGTAGATTGAGCTCAAAACGCCATAACAACTATCAAAAATGATGTTCTTGGTACAATGTAATATAAGCCTGATGGCATGCCATGTTGAGTAGATGATTTCGCTGTTGCCAGATGAATGAATCGGTTACAATTTTAATCAATTTTATAAGTTTTTATTTTTAGTTAAAAAAAATAACAGAACCCAGCTTACCCAAAGCAGTGGTCAAGGCGAGATGCTTCTCCTGAGGCACCAGGGCCTCTGGGAGGTCCCTAAAGAACCTCTTCAGGACCCCCGCCACGTCGTGCTCGGAATGCTGGCTCGGGCTGAGCTGCACCGACCATGCGTCGCGGCGGAACCTCGCCAGCAGTTCCGAAAGGACCGTACTGCTGCCAGCTCGGCGGTATATGCCCTCCGATAGGCTCCCTGCAAATGGTCAGTGCGACGTTTTTAAAGTCTGTTCGCCGAGAGTTGATAAAAAAAAAATATCAGAGGTTCTAAAGTCATTATAAATTACGGCCCGCTAATTATTTTTGTCGATATAATGAAAAAGTTGGTAGATTATTTGGCCTGGCCTTTTTTTTTGGCCTGGATTCTCGGCTCGGTTACAATTTAATTTTGGACTACCATTTATAAGAATGTTCTAAAAATACCAATTATCTACCAAAATACAAAACGATTTCGCACTACTAAATCATCGTTCTCTTTGCCTCAAATCTACCAAAAAAGTAGAAATCTACTAAAAGTGGTCACGCTGTGGCCGCCGCCGCCCGCCGGCCGGGGCGCTTGACGACAGCTGCGTGGCTCATACCATGGTACTCAGTGCGCGTTGTGACAAACGACGCCCGAAGCGACAGTCGCTATTACAAGACATTTCATAATATTTATCAACTCTCGGCGAACAGACTTTAGTACTTTTTAGAACGTTTTTCTGTACATTAGTGCTTTCATATTTTTAGCACTTTTTTACAGTTACAATTTTTACTTTTATTCTTTAACTTCTGTATTGTAAAAGTTGTAGATTAAACCATTTAATGGTAACAAACAATATTATACTTGTAGTGCTTAATTCAGGCAGCCCCTGAGGTTTGGAAGCGGCACGGGAGTGGTTTCTCGCTGACATTTGACGAAAAAAACACCCTCACGTGCTGCTCCCTAAGCGCTAGAACTATAGAATATAGTAGCAATCAAATGCCATCTAAAAAAGTTCTAAACTATTACTGAAATCAAATTGACCGAAATTGACCGTTTATGACTTGTTTTTGACCAATTTGACCGTAAATGACGGTCAGTGAATTTCAGCCGCTTTTTCAACACTACACAAGACGGTGTTTAACCGGTTATGACGGAACTACTACTCTGATAAGTGAAAGTAGCATGTGAATCTAGTACACAAATGTAGATGGCACTAGCGCCGTGTAATGTAGTACATTTTTCTACGATAGATGGCGTGACAGGTAGCATCGCTCGCAGACCAGTGTTTTATGAAGACGGGTAATATTACAAGCTTTTATTTATACAATTTATTTTTACAAGCTTTTATTTACTTTTACATATCTGGCTGGTGTAGGCAAATCTAGTAACTTAAAATTGACCAACTTCCCGGTTTCCAATTGAGATGAAATTTTGCATGCAAAGGATGACAATGCAATATTATGATAACATGGAGCTGATCTGATGATAGAGCTGGAAGGTAGCCATAAGAGCTCCGCAATAAAATAACACAAGCGTATCGAATTTGGGCTCATTTAATTCGTATTGATGAGAACTTTAATCCTATACATACAGTAACCATCAGGGTCTTATGATGGAGCCGGAAGGTGGCCATAGGAAATCCGCACTGAAACGACACAACCCTATCGAGTTTGGGCTCATATAATTTGTATTGACGAGAACTTTAATTCTATATGGTCCTTTCAGCTCCATCATCAGACCAAAGTTATCATATTTGATTGAAATGCTCGCCAATACGAATTAAACGAGCCCAAACTTGACGAAGTTCTGTCGTTTTATTGCGGAGTTATTATGGCTACCTTCCAGCTCCGAGTTATGATATGGGATTGAAGTTCTCGTCAATACGAATCAAATCAGCCCAAACTCGATAAAGTTGTGTCGTTTTAGTATGGAACTCCTATGGCCACCTGCCGGCTTCATCATCAGACCCTGGTGGTTATCATATAAAATTTAAGTCCTCATCAATACGAATGAAACGAGCCCAAATTCTATGGGGTTGCTTGTGTCGTTTTATTGCAAAATTCCTATGGTCACTTTAAAGTTCCATCATCAATCATCAGACCCTGGTTACCATAAGATTAAAGTTCTCGTCAATACAAATTTAATGAGCCCAAACTCGATACGGTTGTGTCGTTTCGGTGCAGATTACCTATGGCCACCTTCCGGCTCCATCATCAGATCCTGATGGTTACCATATAGAATTAAAGTTCTTGTCAATACAAATTAAATGAGCCCAAACTCGATAGAGTTGTGTCGTTTCAGTGCGGATTTCCTATGGCCACCTTCCGGCTCCATCATCAGATCCTGATGGTTACTATATAGGATTAAAGTTCTCATCAATACAAATTAAATGACTCCAAACTCGATAGGGTTGTGTCGTTTCAGTGCGGATTTCCTATGGCCACCTTCCGGCTCCATCATCAGATCCTAATGGTTACCATATAGAATTAAAGTTCTTGTCAATACAAATTAAATGAGCCCAAACTCGATAGAGTTGTGTCGTTTCAGTGCGGATTTCCTATGGCCACCTTCCGGCTCCATCATCAGACCCTGATGGTTACTATATAGGATTAAAGTTCTCGTCAATACAAATTAAATGAGCCCAAACTCGATAGGGTTGTGTCGTTTCAGTGCGGATTTCCTATGGCCACCTTCCGGCTCCATCATCAGATCCTGATGGTTACCATATAGAATTAAAGTTCTTGTCAATACAAATTAAATGAGCCCAAACTCGATAGAGTTGTGTCGTTTCAGTGCGGATTTCCTATGGCCACCTTCCGGCTCCATCATCAGATCCTGATGGTTACTATATAGGATTAAAGTTCTCATCAATACAAATTAAATGACTCCAAACTCGATAGGGTTGTGTCGTTTCAGTGCGGATTTCCTATGGCCACCTTCCGGCTCCATCATCAGATCCTAATGGTTACCATATAGAATTAAAGTTCTTGTCAATACAAATTAAATGAGCCCAAACTCGATAGAGTTGTGTCGTTTCAGTGCGGATTTCCTATGGCCACCTTCCGGCTCCATCATCAGACCCTGATGGTTACTATATAGGATTAAAGTTCTCGTCAATACAAATTAAATGAGCCCAAACTCAATAGAGTTGTGTCGTTTCAGTGCGGATTTCCTATGGCCACCTTCCGGCTCCATCATCAGACCCTGATGGTTACTATATACTATTAAAGTTCTCATTAATACAAATTAAATGAGCCTAAACTCGATAGGGTTGTGTCGTTTCAGTGCGGATTTTCTATGGCCACCTTCCGGCTCCATCATCAGACCTTGATGGTTACAATATAGGATTAAAGTTCTCATTAAAACAAATTAAATGAGCCTAAACTCGATAGGGTTGTGTCGTTTCAGTGCGGATTTCCTATGGCCACCTTCCGGCTCCATCATCAAACCTTGATGGTTACAATATAGGATTAAAGTTCTCGTCAATACGAATCAAATGAGCCCAAACTCGATGAGGTTGTGTCGTTTTAGTATGGAATTCCTATGGCCACCTGCCGGCTTCATCCACCCTGTATAATGCTATGTATGGCGCACTCTGCGTGCGTGGAAAAAGTTTGTAGTTAGGTATTACTAGCTTTCCACCCGCGGCTTCGCCCGCGTGGAATTTTGTCTGTCACAGAAAAACTTTATCGCGCGCGTCCATGTTTCAAAAATCGGGATAAAAACTATCCTATGTCCTTTCCTGGGACTCAAACTATCTTTATGCCAAATTTCATCAAAATCGGTTCAGTGGTTTAGGCTTGAAAGCAAGACAGACAAACAGACAGATAGACAGACAGAGTTACTTTAGCATTTATAATAATAATATTAGTATAGATAGTATAGAAGTATAGATTATTCCAGTCAATGTAGTCTTAACTTTGCCATTTTGAGGTGGGTAGCTGAAACCAATGTCAGTCATTTGCGTATATGCTTTCACAATAATACTATGTAGGGTTCTGAATCACCAGAAATATAAAAAAGGAGGATGAAAGAAAGAGAAAGAAGGGTTCAAAAATAACGATTCCCTTAATATTTCTTTAACAAAAGGAGAAAACCTTAAACAAATCAGTGATAGAGAATTAAATTCTACACAAAATTATCTTGTATTTTTTTTATAGGTACCTACTTAATACCTATCGTTCTGAAAGCATAAACGCATATTTTGGCGTTGGTTTCAGCCACCAACCTCAAAATGGTAAAGTTCAAACCCATTAACTCGACTATACTCTTTGTGTAAGTACCATGGGCGTAAATGAAGCTGATGCATTTGTCGACTATGGTTGGCACGTCTTCCTTGGTGAGCTGCTGGTGGTGAATTTGCGCGCCGTTGTTGAACGCCGCCAGGCGGATCATGTAGCGCCAGCCCTGCAAAGAATTCGGCTCGTAGGTCTAGGGTTCCACACCACACAAGGTTGAGGGAACCCTTCTATAGTTCCAAAATACTGAACTGTCCTATGCATGACATTGACAGTGGGGCGCCACCGTCAATACCGGATCGCTGGTTCCGATTTTTGCCATGTTGGAAACCATACAGTTGAACGATGGTAGCGCCCCCCTGTCATTGAGTTTGGTGGGACAGTTCAGCGTGGGTCATCTATACTCGTATGATCACGCCGTCCGTTGTCTTTGTGACATTTGTAAAGGAATCAAAATCTGTTGAGTCATCTGAGAAATTTAATTTGCTAAAAAGCAAGATCTTGCTGTAAAATTAATAATGCTTGAAGTTTGTAACCTATATTTATAACTTATTATATTTATAACTTATTATATTTATTTCAGCTACTGAATAGGCTCTCGTGCATGGACGGGGCCAGGATGGGAACAGAAATAAATGTGGGAAGTACTAAAACTGCTCAGCTCGCATTTGGAAAGTCTTAAAGATTGAATTTAGCAAATAGTGTGTGACTTTCATGACCCTCAATGGTACAGTAAACAACTCTCATTGTGCTTATTTATTCAGGTACCAATAGTTACCTAAGGGTATTACCACAGAATAATAATAAGTACTGTATGTATTACCGTTACACGAGTCACATTATGCTTTAGTTCCTTTGTGGTTAAGCTGAGAGATGAATGATGATAATAAGAAGCACCTAAACGGCTGAAATACATAATCAAGTCAAGGTTATGCTTTTTTTTATAAAACTTCTTGAGTGCAAAAAACAGAATTGCCAGTAATTCTACTACTGACAACGCCATTCTAGTGGTGGAATTTTGGGCTGACGCTGTGTAGGTAGGACGTCCACCCACAAGGTGGACCGACGACCTGGTAAAGGTAGCAGGAAGGCGCTGGATGCAGGCCGCTACCAATCGGGCAACCGTGCGATGTGGAAGTCATTGGGGGAGGCCTATGTTTAGCAGTGGACGTCCTGTGGCTGAAATGATGATGATGATGATGATGTGTAGGTTTGTTGTCGACACGACCACTTACCTTCAATTCCCTCTCATGGGGAAACCTTAGATAAAGCGTGGCATGAGGGCAGTCGAGAAGAAGGTTGCCACTTCCGTCGGTAGGGCACGATAGCTTCGTCTCCTCGTCAGCTTCTTGTGTCACTGGGGACAAACATCAATATCATTGTTAATGAAGTCATCAATAATAATGTAAAAAGCTTGCGAATTTGTGAGGTTATGGGGGTAATCTATTTAGATTTATTAATCTATTTTCAGTACATTTGTACTGAACAAATTTTAAAAATTATTTTACAAAAGCCGCGTTATTAAATTTTGTGAGTGAACTTTCTGTGACAGAACTCATGTGGGCGGGCTAAAACTAGTCGAAATATTTTGTATTGTAATGATAAGTGTCAAAAATTACAGTCAACATCTACTCACATGCCTAATTACAGTGGGAGTGCTCATAAATATCGTAAGAGTAAAACGTATGATATAAAAATATCTCTAAACATTACAGTATGAACACGTTGGAAAATGTTGTGTAAGGCGCTTAGCTATGGAGACGCCGAGTTGCCGCCGGCTCGGTGTGAGCGACATAATTTGAAGTGACATTCTTTCACATTAGGTAAACGACGCATAAACACGCAGGAACAACTAGGTGTGACGTGTTAACATAGGTGTAAAGAGCTCAAAGTTTGCTTAAGGCGATTAGAGTCCTCAATCCGCGTCAAATGGGCATTTTGTAAAGCCTACTCCTCTTTTACTGCTGGACAGAAATAGTTGAAAAAAAAAATGTTATACAACAGTTCAAGGACTACATTTGTGACGTTTGAATTTTCGCTACGTCTCTTTATTTTGGATTAAAAAAATAAATACGGGACATCGATTTTTTACTTAAATTCCCTACTCCTCCAAAAGGGCTATGTTAATTTAAAAGATTTTTGCACGAATAGATTAGGAATTCTTGTTTAGAAAATTCAGATGTGTTTTCCAAAAAAATTTATTTCCTTTATGCGTCACATTCCGAGCTAAGAACCCCTACCTAACCGGTTTTTACCCCTGGTTTCCTGTCTCTTTCGTTCACAATGGATAAAAGAGAGAGGTTCTTCAATTTTCTCCCCTCGCCATAACATTCGGCACGGACAGACAGCGGTGGGTCAAATCGATGTCTTACAGCACCTATGTGTTGCTTTTATAGACAAAACTGACAATTATTATTATTAGAACACATTAGACTGTGTGCTGGGATTACGCTGAATAAATATACGCAAGTACCTATAACTCACTACACCAATCAATGTTTCATTTCAAATACAGTGTGAGTCACGTTAAAGTGTACATATGAAAATATGTGAAACTAGACCTATTTTTATCGACAAAAAAGATGTCAAAAATTTTTTGACATTTTTTTTTTAAAATTATAGATTTTTTTTCTTCCAATTCTCGTAAAGAAAATGTAATAACTTTTAAACTAAGAGGTATATCCTGATAAAATAAAAACAGTAATAATGCTAAATAACAGGCGATACTAAAAAAATACATAAAATACCCAGAAAATGCCAACAAATAATAAAAAATGTTCCTTTTTAAAGAAAATCTGCTTAAAAATTTGTATTTTTTTGTTTATTTGATAAACTCAAAAAAATGCCCCTATAATAATAGGTGGTTTTTATTACTTTGTATTATTTTCTATCGTATTATCTTTGTAAAACCAAAAATCGCATGTCTCTATCCCTATCACAAAATTTGCTATGATCGTTTGAACAAAGGCCTGCCACAACATTATTCTCCGCTACAGGTAGAGACAATTTTAATTTTAACTAAAATGCTTATTTTACTTCGAAATCTTTGGTTTTTATTTGAAATCTAACTTGTCTTTATCAAAATTATAAATCTAGAGCCATTTTCAGTATCGTTGTTAACGAAGCGTTGAATGGCGCGCCCGGAGAGGCTTAGTTCAAACGATCATTGCAAACGTTGTGATAGGGATAGAGACATGCGATTTTTGGTTTTACGAAGGAAATACGATAGAGAATAATACAAAGTAATAAAAACCACCGGTTATAGGGGCATTTTTTGGAGAAATTTATCAAATAACCAAAAAAACACGAATTTAAAAGCAGATTTTTTTCAAAAAGTATTATTTTTTATTATTTGTTGGCATTTTTTGTGTATTTTATGTATTTTTTTAGTATCACCTGTTATTTAGCATTATTACTGTTTTTATTTTATAAGGATATACCGCTTATTTTAAAAGTTATTACGTTTTCTGTACAACAAGTAATTGGAAGAAAAAAAATTCTATAAAAAATTAAACAAATCTCACAAAAAATTTGACCTCTTTTTTGTCGATAAAAATAGGTCTAGTTTCATCTATTTTCATATGTACACTTTAACGTGACTCACACTGTATATGTTTGTTTGTAATTGTTTCCAATATATGTAACCCTGTTATGTTATTCTAAATCTAAGTAGGTACCAAAGAAAGGGCCGGGTAAGTGAAGAACTAAGCAATTCCTATTAACTTAATAATAATAAAAACTATTCAACAAAACTCGCCTCGAAATAAAATCTATTTTAAGGAATCCTAGTCGTTGTGCCTATAGACATAGACTACCATAATGAACTTTGTACTTTATTTCGCCTAATCTTAGCAAGGTTGAAGTTTCTAGAGATATAGACAAAATTGTTATTGTTACGTTTATACAATTAAAGTTAAGGATGTACCTANAGATTCCACCTGAAGTTACCTACATATTACATGTTCAAATTTCGGGAACGGCTGAACCGACAATAACATTAGAAAATTTACGAAAAAATAAAAAATAAAAATATCCCGTACAAAATGTTCATGGATTGTGTTATTTTTATTAAATACCTTTACGCCTGACTTAAATGACACCGACATCAAGGTTCATCAATTCAAGTTTAAAATAATAGGCAGTAATGTCATGAAAAAAGAGCTTCTATTCTGTATCTACCTATGCCCGTGTAATTTTGATCGGTGTCAAATCGGAGTTTTCGTGCGGGGTACGCGGGTGTTGCGCGTGTCGTGAAGGTCAAACGCCCAAGGTCATTGAGGACTCTAATCGCCTTAAGAAATACCTACTTATAATACAAAATGTGTACTTAACAGCTTTTTTTTTGACAAATAAGACTTATATTTTATTCTAGATTATGATAATGGAAACCATGTTGTTATCTGATAAATACACAATTATTTTATGCTAATTGCTATTGCTACACTGCCAGGCGAACGTTCCTTCGACCGCTGAGCTGCGGATTACGAACATTCGTTTGAGATGCATCTAATCTCTTAAGTGCTGTATTAAAATCCTGATTATCTACAGATGCACATAAAAAGTAGAAGCTATTAGAATTTTTGAAAGTTAAAAAAAATCAAATGGTATGTTAGGTTCAAAAGGATTCTGATACGATTAGTTAAGCGTTGATTTTATAAAAATTCAACTATCTGACATTCTGAATGGACCTAGAATTAGGTAACCCTAAGATTAGGTTTCAAACATTAAAAATATAATATAAATGTCTATGGGTGGAAACGATAAGTGATCGATTATTTCTGAACTACACAAGATATCGAAAAACTTGTTAATGATCCTGAAAGTGCTTCACGAGCTCTATCAAATGGTACCTGTATATTATGGCGGTAAGATTACCATTTATATTCTTGTAAGATAAACATTTTTGTTAAAACGGACTGTTTATTAAATGAGCACAAACATTTAATTAGCCGTCTTAGAAAAGCACTACGTACCTATNGGCTCGTTTAAAAAAATGATATGAATTAATTTATTATCCTATGGGAGATTCAACATTTCAGATCTCTATTTAAAGGAAAATACGCAAAAGTTTGGCATTTCTTCCCTAGCACGAATACGAATTGTGAAAGTTAAGAGTTATATGAAAAAAAACTAAAAAGTCATTTGTATAGGCTCTTAAAAAGCACTTTTACACGTCCCAGTATTAACCCTACCACCATTACCCTACACTACGCATGAAATAGGTACCTAATATTCTTATATACCAAACATGACCCACGGCCATACTCCCTTGGCAAAGGGGATCGACTATCAGCCTTAGGCCCGGTTTCCACCAAAGCAGAGCGGAACGGAGACGAGAGATGTACGACGAAGCTGGCAGGCTATTTCCACCAAAGCGGAGCGGAGAAGAGCGCAGCGGTGCTGAGACGAGAGGAGATGCGTGAGCTGTGCGTAGCTGTTANATCTTACGTGAAAAAGACTATAGTCCTTACATTTTTGAGTCTCCACTACAGAAGATCGAGCCTCTCTAATTTACTAGAGAGGCAAATGGAGGATTTGATCTACACTCACTTCATTGGTTTTCGACCTTATTACAATATGCAAAGAATCTACAATGAAGTAATCTTTATTTCTCACGCTGATTTGACCCTTATTTCAATAGACCAAGAATCTACAATGAAGTAATAATTATTTACCTGGTAAATAGCACCGCATTCCTTGCACTGAGTGGCGCCAAACTTCTTCTGTCCCGCGTCGATGACGTATTGGTCGCTGGTGGTTTTCGGTAGACGTTTCTTGCCGTTTTTGTCCGAACCTAATAAAAATAAATAATAAATATTTATAAGTAAAAATAAGTATTTAATAGCTTCTTACGTTTTTCACGAGCTGAGTAGGGGTGTTTCTATTCTACTCTGCCGAACCCACATAACTATATCGGGCTATATCATATTTACAGTGTTTGTGTAGGTAGTGACCACAGATCACAGAAACTAAAGGGAGATGTGACAAGGGGGCGTGGTCGGTGTCGCAGCAATATGCCCAAAAACCAGGGTTCGAAAATATCCGATATTTATGATATATATCCGATATATATCGGATATATATCATAAATATCCGATATTTATGATATTTATCAGATATATATCTGATATATATCATAAGAATATTTTCGAACCCTAGGTTCGAAAATATCCGATATATATCCGATATTTATGATATATATCCGATATATATCGGATATATATCATAATATCAGATATATATCCGATATATATCGGATATATATCATAAGGATATTTTCGAACCCTGCCAAAAACAGAACACATTGCTGCAGACGTCATAATTTAAACACTTTACATTGCTTGCGTAGTACTAAAGATTATTCGAACGTTGAGTACTGATACCGCAGTGGTTATTGAGCACATATTTTGATTACTTTGTTTGTGTCAATTTCTAATGCGACACTAAGTTTCGAATTCAGCGCATTAGTTGGCATCTCTCTATATCTCTATGGTACTGACCTTTGCTAGTAGGCGTACTAGTCCCAGGGTTGGGATTGCTGAAGATCGGGAACAATTTCGTCGACTTGTCTTCTTTCACAGTTTCGTCAACTGGCATCGTTGTCGTGGCATCTGCAAATAAACTTACGACTTTAATAAAGTATAGTTGACAAATCCAAGTCTTTATTTATAGGTACTTAGTTATGAAATAACACTAATTACAACTAGATGAAATGATGTAGAATCAAATCAAAATCAAAATTTTCTTTATTTGTTTAGACTAATTAAATTAGTTCTTGCAAATCGTCAAATGCTCTTAAGGAGCCTATACATGTCTCATTCTTTTTTTGCCCTACCAGCGCTTCGAGACAAACATTTGGCAAGTGCTGAGAAGAAGCGCCGCAACAAACTCAGTCACCACTGTCTGCCGGTTTAAAAATATAAAAAAGTAGGAAGTTACAATACATTCGGAAGCAAGTTACTTACCACGCGCTCCCGTTGATAGAAGGTGGCCTTTAAGACGCCCTTCTAGTACGAGACCGCGTGGCAGTTTTGAATATATTTATTTAGTGCCGTGCTAATTTCTAGGTTAATTGTTGCGTTTTGATACATATATATTTTTAGTAGTATTTAGCTATGTGCTGTTCAAACACTAACGTGTTCTAACTGCTAAGATGGGGATTTGTAGATATCAAAAGGACTTCCACTGCTTCCACATGAACATAATTTTGCAGATCTTAAAAGATCTTATAGCCACATGAACATAATTTTACTTGGACACATTTTTCGACGTAAAATATTTTTATATTTAACTAGCTACGCACGCGTGAAATTTTGTTTGTCACAGATCGTCATAAATTATAGCCTAAGATATGTTATACTGGATTATGAACAATAATACTGTAAAGTTTCATAAAAATCCGTTCAGTGGTTTTTGAGCCTATTCATTACAAACATACAAAAATAGGTACAAATCTTTCCTCTTTATAATATTAGTATAGATAAATTACAGTTTCATGCTGTTAGGTAAGCATCAAGAAACCTAATCATTTATGTTAGATTGACCACACAGAAATTAGTCTTAATAACAGGGTTCGAAAATATCCGATATTTATTATAAATATCAAAATATCGGATATCTATATATATAAAAATGAAACCCGTTTCGCGTTGTCACGGCATCACGTGTGAACGGCTGAACCGATTTCGATAATTCTTTTTTTTAAATGTTTGTGGAAGTCCAAGGATGGTTCTTACGGAAAAAAATATTAAGAAAATCTCTACGCTAAGGCGGTACGAAGTTCGCCGGGTCAGCTAGTTTATGATATACAGGGTGTTTGGCGCATCGTGTGCCAAAATGATTTGGCGGATAGAATGGGTCATTTCCTATATTTTCAGCCCCCATAACACGTTCCATGCCAGGCGGCTACTTTTAAATTAATGTTTTTAGTACTTTCACCAAAATACCCAAATCGCATCATTTAATTTCGATTTAAAAAAAAACTACTAGGCGCAGCTCTAAAAAAAATAATTTGTTTTGACGTGCATTAATGTAGGGTTGCATCAAATCTTAATTTACTGGCAAATATCATCTACTTTTTTTTTAATTCAGCTTTGAAGTTTTCCGAAAAGTTAAAAATGGACTGAACATTTAAGTTTACATAGGTATAAATTTTTTTTTAAAAGAGATAGCGATCTTCGAATTTTATCAAAACTTCTCTAGTCTATCCTCATTTAAACGGTATACTAATCTTGTTTAAATAATTACAACAACTTCACAAATTCCTTAAAAGACAATGCCGGAAATTGGCGTCTTTTTTTTTTCGCGCGGCCATCGACCAAACTTTGTTTTTTGATTACAAAATAGTGTAATAAACCAAACCTACTATGACATGTATACCTCTAAACTCAGTCTGAACTGAGTTACGAGCATTAGAAGTTTGATGATTTTCATACTAGATTTGCTTTTTGCGCGCAAAGTTTTGTAAGAAATTGCAACAAAATAGTGAGATTGTATGTGTAAACAAACAATACCATCCATTAAAGGCTCCAGACATCAGTATGGAGCAGAATCAAGATACTGGGCAATTACTGTGCTTTGATGTGGGCAATTAGTGTAAGTAATGGGCAATGACTGTACTTTTTGGACGATTTTAAATTTATTTCAATATTTTCTAAGTTACGTAAGTTTTAACTAAAAACTGTTAATATTCTGTTTAACAGTTTATTGAGTTATAAGAAAAAAGTCATAAATGGTCGATAATTAAAATACTTTCTTTAATTTTTCATCTCAATGTGTTTGAAATCTTTAAGTGGGCAATAGCTATACGGTTTACCCTATTTGTAAGGGATAGCCGCTAGGGCCGGTCAACGCGGAAATGAACAGTCCTGCTCAAATCAAGGAAATTTATTTGGACAAAAAAATGCCCTGACAGTTGTAAAAAAAGGTATCAAAATGTATAAAAAAGTATAAAAACAAAAACCAATATAAAAAAGTTTAGTCCACCTATTTGTTCCCAACATTATATATACTAATATTATAAATGCGAAAGTAACTCTGTCTGTCTGTCACGCTTTCACGCCTAAACCACTGAACTGATTTTGATGAAATATGGCATAGAGATATGGTTTGAGTCCCGGGAAAGGACACATTTTTATCCCGGTTTTTGAAACAGGGACGCGCGCGATAAAGTTTTTCTGTGATAGAAAAAAATCGACGCGGGCGAAGCCGCGGGCGGAAAGCTAGTTCTTTCTAAGTGATGACTGAAAAACGAAAAGTTATACCCATGAGAGTTGATCTCCTAAACATGTAAAAAAATTCTTATAATGCAATCCAAGTGACTACTGCATAATAAACACAGTCATTTACCTTCGTTATTGTGGAACAGCTCGGGCAGGTAGAAGAGCTCGGGGATGAGCTCCTTGACGTCGGTGGGCGAGTCGTTGGTGATGAGCCGCCACGTCGTGGCCAGCGAGTGGAACGTGCGGTCCGGCATGTCGAAGTTGTTGTCTGCACAAGAATTAACACAAAAGTAAGTCAATCAAGATCTAATTGTTGAATGTTTGATTTTTGAGAATGAAATAGGACCACGGGCGTACTCGGGGGAAAGGGAGGGCAACTGCTTCTCTCTGGAAGTCTCGCAGAAAATTACGAACTTGCCTAAAAGCGCTACAGTCGCTTTGAAGGAGCTAAGTTAAACGGTCTGACCTAAAAAAAATGTGACTTGTCCCCTCCAAAGCAAATTGCGCCCGTGGACAAGACAGGGACCTCTTCGATCTTGAAGTCCTAGGTGCCCAGGGTGACCAATAGGAGAGAAGTCCGATAGTGGCGGGTTGAAGTGACAAGTCTAACTAGGAGAGTAGAAAGAAAGAAAGAATGATTTATTTGGCACACAAAAAAGAAATAATAAATCAGGACATTAATATGGAAATAAAAAAAAAATTACAATAACAATAATAGATAGAGAGTAGGGCGGCCAATGTCCAATAGTGCAGTGAGGACACGCGGCAGTACCTTGGTAGTTGAGGAACAGCTCCGTGAAGGGCGGCAGGCGCACCAGGTAGTGCAGCACGCCGCCCGAGTTGCTGTACAGCGACGCATAGTGGTGCGGCTGCCGCGCTACCACGGGGCTGCAGCCCTCGCGCCGTGCCGCCTTCAGGTCCTGAAAACAGGGCCAGAAAGTTATAAGTCATTAAAAACAGAAGAAACATAATGACTGTGCGAAATTAAAACTAAACAGCAACATATTCCGATTTACTTGAGCCAAATGAAAGATTTGGCCTGTTGCCAGCCAGATCCCATTCTGCTTTGCCAGACATAGACAACAATCTTAAAACCTGCGCAGACAGGGGCTGTTCTCGCGGTACTTTTTTTCCCTCAATATCAGTTAAACTGTAAATAACGCACACAGACAACTAAAAACCAGACTCAGAAACGGGACTTTACTAAATTACAACAAATCAATGCACACTGTGTACGTGAAGTCCGCAGCAAGTTATAAGCGGACAATTTTGTCACGATTCAGGGATTCTCCTTTGTGGACAAGACTCATAACCTCGTCTGCGCCAGCCTTAGGCTGCGTTTCCACCAGAGATGTGAGAGGATGCGTAGCGAGGGATGTGTTCGCAAAGAACCAATAGAATCGCTTCATTTACTTCGCCTCGGTAAAAGAAGCGATTCTATTGGTTGTTTTGGTGGAAACGCAGCCTTAAACGTGCACTCACATTGTAGGTGTTGATATAGTGTTGCTCCCGACTCTTGCGCTGCACAGCCATGGGCTTGGTGAGGTCTCGGAAGGTCTCCGGCGCGGTCAGGTCTAACACTCGGCTGGTGTAGTCGGCCAGCACGAAGGGCAGGACGGGGTACTGCATGAGGTCGTTGTAGGAGCGGCCGGCGAGCCCGTTGAGCCGCATGAGGTACTCCCAGTTGGTGATGCTGCCGTTGCGCCACTGGTTCATGGCTTCAGCTAGCGTGTCTTCTTCTTGTCTGGAATAAAGTAATCTTATCACAACAGACAGAAGACAGAAATTTTGAACGTCAAAATATAGTAAATAAAAAAAAGGTAGCCCTTATGGGGCACTTTACATGTCTCCTTATCTTTTGGGTCCTACCAGCGTTTGAAGACAAGGGATCTTAAATAAAGGCTACAAGAAAGCGCTAGATGTAGGGCGCTACGAACTGGTCACTGGTCAGTCTGCAAATAATTGGGTAGATATCTCGGTAATGAAATAGAAATTCTATTCCATTAAAGAGATAATAAAAAAACGTATTTTTTTTGTTTTTTTTCCCACTCACATATTGACGGTGGAACATTAAGGCTGGGTTGCACCATCTTACTTTAACTTCGACAAATGTCAATAAGTCTGTCAAAATTCATACATGTATTCATGGTTAACGTTATAGTTACGATCAAAATTAGGTAGTGCTACTCGGCCTTAGTTGAAATATTGCGTGACGTCATGCCTTTGTAGATTTTTTACTGAGAAGTGACGTCACGCGACATTTCAAGTCAATGTCGGACGGACTTAAAACTTTGTCACCTAGCCTATTTGGGGGAGGGCCATGTTCAGCGTGGTTTTCTGTTTCTGAAATGACGACTAACAAGATATCTTAGAGCGGCAATACACGGACCGCTTGAAGCAGTCAGGGTCAACAACTTCAAGCTGTCGACTGCACAGTGAACTGCAGAGTTCTATGAACGCACATACACGAAGCGCTCGAGCAGTTGCAACTGATTCGGGCGGTCGATAGCTTGAAGCTGTCGACCCTGACTGCTTCAAGCGGTCCGTGTATTGCCGGCCTTAGGTAGTTATAGGAAAAAACTTACTTGTTCGGCAAGTGGCAGTTCTTGAGCGCCTTGAGGAAGTTGGCGCGCTCAGCCTCCGAGTCGAAGGCCAGCAGTTGAGCGTGTCCGGACGACAGGAACAGCTCGACGGCGCGCTCCTGCAGGCACCAGCGCCGCGTGCCCACCGCCGTCACGCTGCCCAGCGCCCAGCACTGCGCGCGGCCCGGCGCCCACGGCTCCCAGCTGTCGTCGTCCGAGCCGCTGTCTTCGGGCACGAAGTGGATGGATCTTGGATAAGAATAAACCATATTTCAACGATGACGTAACATACGTAGCGGATCTGAGGTGCAATTGCTGTATTCTGTCAAACGCCTAGGTATAGATGACCCACGCTGAACTGTCCCACCAAACTCAATGATAGGGGTCCGCTACCATCGTTCAACTATATGGTTTCCATCATGGCAAAAATCGGAACCAGCGATCCGGTATTGACGGTTGCGCCCCGCTGTCAATGGATAGAATAGTTCAGTATATTGGAACTATAAACAGATTTTATCGTAAGTTTTGAACTGTCAAATGAATATGATTACTTTACAAAATTGCACCTCTAGTCAGAGGTGCACCAGGCAGTCTTCCAAAAAAAAAAAAAGGAGATGGCAGGAGATCGTGCGTAGAGTATCTGCCTCTACAATAAACGTGGACACCTCAATATAACCAACCACTATTACTCAGCTAAGGAGAAGAAAGTATGTAACGACATTTTTAATAATAATCTATACTTATAATAAATCTGTAGAGAGGTCAATTCTGTACATGAAATATATTTTAAAAATAACTATCAGGGGGTGATTAGCGATCGATACTGATGCCAAAAATGCAATCAGTAAAATTTTTGTCTGTCTGTCTGTATGTTCCTTATAGAAACAAAAACTACTCGACGAATTTTAACGAAACTTGGTACAATTATTCTTCATACTCCTGGGCAGGTTATAGTATACTTAGGAATTCCCACGGGAACGGGAATTAGCGGGAAAATCCTTTTGTATGAAAAATCTAAACCACTTAAGATAGACGCTTGAAATGGCAATGCCAGATTTTGTATGGTAAGTGGCGTCTTTTTTTTTTCGCGCAGCCATCGACCAAACTTTGTTTTTTGATTACAAAATAGTGTAATAAACCAAACTTACTATGGCATGTATACCTCTAAACTCAGTCTGAACTGAGTTACGAGCATTAGAAGTTTGATGATTTTCATACTAGATTTGCTTTTTGTGCGCAAGTTTTGTAAGAAATTGCAACAAAATAGTGAGATTGTGCGTAAGTTTGGTTTATTACACTATTTTGTAATCAAAAAACAAAGTTTGGTCGATGGCCGCGCGAAAAAAAAAAGACGCCAATTTCCGGCATTGTCTTTTGGCATGCAGGTACCTTATTAAACTTAAAGCTTAGTTACAACAGGATATTGCAAAATTCCCACGGGAACGGGAGTTAGCGGGAAAAAACATTTGTATGAAAAAATCTAAACCGCGTAAGATAGATGAAGGGGGTAAAACGGGATCCACGCGTACGAAGTCGCGGGCGGCCGCTAGTAATAAATAAATATCCTTGGACTTACACTGCGCTTCTAGTCCCAAACTAAGCAAAGCTTGTACTATGGGTACTAGACAACGGAGAGGGTAGATTTTAAGTTGGAACGCCATATACTTGTTCAGTTGCAGCTGTTGACAAGCTTATGAGGTTATGATCTTGCAAATGCTCGTGTCAATTGAACATACGTGCAATGACGTCTTAATGATACGTTACCTGTCAGTGAGCAGCAGCTCGCCGCAGGTCTCGCTGTCGTGCGTGACGTGCGTGACGCGCGCCATGCACGCCACGCACTCGTTGAGCTGCAGCCGCGCCGCCAGCCCGTCGCGCTCCGTCGCATACGCTGTTGCCGACAGTACGTGCGATGACGTCACAGTGCTCGTGCCCTTACCTGTCCGTGAGCAGCAGCTCGCCGCAGGTCTCGCTGTCGTGCGTGACGTGCGTGACGCGCGCCATGCACGCCACGCACTCGTTGAGCTGCAGCCGCGCCGCCAGCCCGTCGCGCTCCGTCGCGCTGCGGCCCAGCACGCTGCGTAACGGAGGCGGTCGCTTGGCGAGATCTATGGTTGACATGAAAGTTACATTTTGATATTATACGAGTTTGATCGTTGTTGTTATAATTTTCAGTGAATATTGAATGCTGATTTCCAGTGGCCTAAAAGACTACGGATTTCTAAAAATGGGTATCCTTATTTTATTTTAGATTTTTCAAATAATGACTGGCAACTAATGGTGACTGAGTTTGTTCCGGCGTTTCACTTTTTAGTTGCCATTTTATGTTTTTCTCGAAGCGCAGGAAGAGGACACATGTAAGTGCCCCACAAGGGCACACATTTTGTATTATCTTTGATGTTTATGTGTCAAAATACTGGTTTTAAATAAATTTTTCATTTGATTTGAAATATTAGATATCACTAGAACTAGAACCGTTGCAAGTGACAGTAAGGGTTAAGTCAAATAACACATAAGTGCGCTCACCGGGCTTGTACTGCTGCGCCGGCTGCAGGAAGCGCTTGTGGATGCGCAGGTGCGCGCGGCGCAGGCGCACGCGCACGCGGCCCGGGCCCTCCGTCGGGTCCAGCTGCCACGACGCCGGCCAGCTGCGCGACTCGTGGAACACCGCTGTACGACACAAAATACACGTATTTATTTATTTATAAGGTACATCAACAAAGTCACATACAGTTTATACATTTCAACATGGTTATCACATGATGTGTATTGACCTTAATTACAGGTATACACAGCATTTATTTTTGCAAAGTTAAGGTTATACACTAGAAAAAGCAAAAATCAATTAAAGTTGAATTTAAGCACTGAATAATATAAATAATTTAATATTTGTTCATTTTGTTCAGTGCTTAAGTCGTTCCGAATATAGGCTTTAGAATTAGACTATGGAGCACTTGAATTTTTGCATGTATAGTGAATGAGCGGATCTTTTGGTCGAGCCGCTCAAGTGGAGACGCCTGAGCCGAGCCTGAGTATTCAGGTGGCTCGGCCAAAGGAGTCGCTCATTCGCTTGAGCATATCGCTCAAGTGGATACAAAAGGCTCCACGGGATTCATTACTTTACAGAACGCACTACGAAATTGCTAATGAAGGTGGCTAATATATCATGTTGCAATACTCTAGCAGGGTCATGTTACGGGTCTACGTCTATTGTGTAAAATCTTTATTATACAAATATGGAGTAGTTAAGAATTTGAACGAATATTGTTTGGCGAAGCGATGGACTTATCAGAGGGTGAGGAGGAGAGGTCCCAGGAAGCTAAATTGCTGTATTTCGTTCACTTTCACAGCTGGTTTTTCAGACTTTGATGTTTTGACGCAAGAGCAGCGTCCGCGCGCGTTCGTTCTGGTTGTATGTGTGCGGGGAAGGGGGGAGGGTGACAAATGACAGGAGCAGTGTTGCCCAACGCTTCTAGAACGTTCCGGTCGCCGCTATCTTGTCTATGATGTCAGAGATTATAATTCTATCGCTAGCAAATATGTGGAATGCGTACCCCGGTCGTGCGTGTAGTCGCGCACGAGGCGCGCCCAGCGCGTGGCGGCGGCGTGGCGCGCGGCGTGGCGCCGGCGCAGGTGCTGCATGAAGCCCTTGCGCTCGGCGTTCTGCGCCTCCACCGCCGCGCGCGTCACCGCCATCGCGCCCTCCGCCAGCCGCGCGCATACTGCCTGCTTGCGGAACACCGCCCTGCAGACAACCACATACATAAGTTAATGAGGGCTATCGTTTTTATACTTAACAGTTGGCACCCCTGGCGATTGACAGGACCTTACTGTACAGGTCTGTCTAATATAACGGCCTAGTAAAATTGTAAATGTCGCTTATGTGCGACCAAACTCCTTGGCCGCGCGCCTGGCCGGCGAGAAACTTCTTTTTACTTTTTATGTTTTTTATCGATTGTCACTTTTTTCTCTTCTCTTGACTTTTCTACTCTCGAACTAAACATGTAGAAAAAAGCGCGGGANATGCAACCCTACATTAATGCACGTCAAAACAAAATATTTACTTTAGGGCTGCGCCTAGTAGTTTTTTTTTAAATCGAAATTAAATGATGCGATTTGGGTATTTTGGTGAAATTACTAAAAACATTAATTTAAAAGTAGCCGCCTGGCATGGAACGTGTTATGGGGGCTGAAAATATAGGAAATGACCCATTCTATCCGCCAAATCATTTTGGCACACGATGCGCCAAACACCCTGTATATCCGATATATATCAACTTTGATATATATCAATTTTGTATGAAAGCCATAGTATTATTTTATTGTATTATTCATGAATACTATTGCATATGTGTTATATAAACATGTTTTTAAAACTTAAAATCAGACAAATAAAGCAAAAACATAAAATATCTCTGAAATACGGCAAAATCAACTAAAATAATAAAAATCTTATGTCAAAAAGTACAAATACAGTAACAAATTTTAAAAGTTGATATATATCATCAAAACCGGCTTGATATATATCGGATATATATCCGATATATATCTTGATATATATCTTGATATATATCCCTTGATATATATCCTCGAACCCTGCTTAATAATAGGAACACAATCTTTAATATCCATCTGACATGGCGTATTTATTATTATATGTAATTAGCTTACAATCAATATAATTATTACACAGCCATTCTGGTATTTTTTACCTTTAATTATTATTTAATGTGCAGCTTCTATAAGCATCCGGAAAAACACACAACAATGAGACAATTAAATTCAAATTGTGTTTAAAAGATTGGCAGCAATATAAATAGTAAGTTATAAATATGATTAATGAGCTTTTTCTCGCATTCCCGATTCTACAACTACATTTAGCTGGCGAAATTAGCTCAGGAGTGTCAACTCAAAAGCACGACCCCCTCTAATTTACCAAAAGCAAATTGAGGATTTGGCTTACACTGCTTATGTTGGCCAGAAGGGTTTAGGAGACCTGTAATCACGCCATTTTATCGATTTTTTCCCATACATAACATTTTGACGTCGATAAAAGTTATCACGGCGCGCATCTTAGGCCTACAGGCAAATAGAGGATTTGGCCCACCCTACCAACACTGGTCAGAAGGGTTGAGGAGTTTGATACTGGGCAGGTGTAAGAAAGATTTTTAAGCAGGTCCACCACTTTTAGACAGTTAAAACGAAACATGGTAAGTAGGTACTTTTTATTGCGCTCATCTGCTATCAGTCCCAAACTAAACTGCATGGAACAAATATGCAGATTTGTTCCATGCTGTTTTAACATGTTCAAGGAGCTCCCCAGCAGAACACTCCTTCACCATCTGTCACCGAGTATATCGTGGCGCTTCAGTCGTTTAGTGTAGCTGATGGTTGCCAACACGGTAGCCGACTGATTTTCCAGTCGCGTTTTATATTCATTTATTCCCTGTTAAAGCCCGGTCTGCGAGCACGTAGAATTTTGTCCAATGACCCCAAGCTACCCATCCTTATCATGTTGCTGTCGTGCTCGCACACTCACTGCGGGTGCCCGTCGCACAGTCGCGACAGCAATATAATTACGCGCGAGCGATAAGGATGGGTAGCTTGGGGTGATTGAACAAAATTCTACGTGCTCGCAGACCAGACTATAGCTTTAGTAGGTATAAAGGGATTATTTTACACTTACCGGTTACAGCGGGTACAGCCAGAGTCTCGGTAGACGCGATCACGGCTTGCGGGTTGATGTTGTTGGACTCCGCCATCTTGAGGATTTGCTCGTCAAGCATCTTCAGCTCGCGCTCAATTTCGTCCAAGTCTGGCAGTTCTTCTTGAACTGGAATATTTTGGTGTTGGTTAGTTTTTGGTTTAGAAATCGTTCCAATTTATGAATGTAAATACCTAGCCATGTTTATTGTTACTATTATGGTGGTAAGTGGTAATAAAGCATTCAATTCTCCAGGTATAAAATCAATTTGGGAAGACGGCAATTGAAAGCAGTCCCTAGCACTATTTTATCTAATTAATGCTTCATTACTTTCTATCTATACTCAAATGGTAATCATCATAATTTCAGTCAGTAGCAGTTCACAACTGAATAAAGGTACCATGGGCTGACACTATTTTAACACAGAAATATCAACTTTGCTTTGGTGCAAATGGTGATAGTATGTAGTATGTACCACAGTATTTAAGGTGAGCAGAGCACTCTTTCATTTTAGTCTTTAGGTGCTTCAAGTAATATTACATAGTAAGTTTCATTTTTCATGATCAGGTGTTTTGAAAATAAAAGGTATATTTTAATTTCAAAACCGAGTGCACGTGTGCTTCTTTTCTTCGCATATTAATAGGTATACTGTCATGCATTATTTTCCATATGTTTCAGGTAATAACAATGAATGACCTAGACTTATGACTTCAAGCAAGAAAATCTATACATATAAACGCGAAATACCACTCACTGATTAATCACGAAATCTCAGAAACTAAAATACCTAAAAACTATAAATTTGGCAGGTAGGTTCCTCTTAGGGTGTAGACATCCACTAAGATAACGGATTTTACGAAACTCCACCCCTAAGGGGGTAAAACGGGGTTGGAAGTTTGTAACGTTTCATACAGGCGAAGCCATGGGCAAAAGCTAGTTCAAAATATGCAGTTGAGCCAGGCAACAAAGTTTAAGCATATTTGGCACTGTTTACTTTAAGTTATATTTGCATACAATGACTGTTTTCTCTTTAACAATTAAAATAACTTGAGACGAGAGAGTGATGTATTTGTGATTATTTGCATAGGTGGTGGGTACCCATTGTACTTTTACAGGTAAAGTATATTGTGTTTGTATTTAACTCAAATCTTATGGGCATACTATCTTCATTTACCAATATTTGAGGCTTTTCAAAGATTTGTTAATAATGCTTAGTACTTTCAAAACTGATCTCATTATGAATTTATCTATTTTTAATTTATTTGGCAATGTATGTGAATAGTGCAAGGTTGTGTGTAATTAAGTTATAAATTGCAGTGCCTGTTATTTTCAGTGTTTGCCATATGCTTGGTAAATTGGAAAGAGTCATGCTCACAGAATATTGTCTAAATGACCTAATAATTATGATGATGATGGAGTGAGAGTAAGTGAAAACATTTATAAATATTAATAAAATAATTTATTTGGCAGAATAGAATAGGGTGAGTTAGCACCATATTTGTTGAAGAAATCGTCACGACGGCGCGCCGCGACGCCCCAGCGTCAAATGAGTAGACTGCAACTGGACCAGCATTGGGGCACAACTTAGAGTAATGCCACACGGACGTTGATGTTACGTTGCGGTGCCGTTGCGGTGCCGTAGCGGTGTCGCTTCGCTCTTACAGCTAACTGAAGCGATTTTAATGATGCGGCCACAGTCTCAGTCCCTTGCTAATTGCTAATCTGAAATAGCTAATACAAATAAACAGTAAAATTACCTGGTCCTCCATTTTCAGCGACGAATATGTAGCCTCCTTCCACAGGCAGGAACTGTCCATTCTTCGTCATGTCTCCGTGGTTTGCTGAGTGTCCAGGTTCTGACATAACCACGTCATTCACTTCGTTGTGAGAGGTTTCACTTTGTGCCAATTTAGCAGCACTTGGTGCCAATGTGACGTGGTTTTGTGTTCCCAATTCCACAATAACTGCTTCTCCATCCTGTGGTATGCTTTGTACGGGGACTGGAACTGCGGTAACCGGCTCAAAAATTGAGTTAGTCTCTTCAATGACCGTGCTGCTGAAACAAGGCACTTCTTGTCTTGGCTTGGAGTATGAAAGCTCTGATTCTGGAACTTCCTCTTCTGTCCACTGGCTGAGGAGAGCTTCAATTGTTTGCTTCTCCGAGTCAAATGGGTCAGCTCGGTCTGTGAAAGAAAGAAGATTTTCTGTCAGTAACATTTTAAAATTCACACATTTATATTTGGTATAGAATATCCTTCTACAATACTACAAGAGAGATGATTTGGTTATGGTAATTTAATATTTTAATTGTTTACTAGCTCTGACATTCAAAATAGTTATTTAGTTAAATGAAACTGAGAAAAAGAAACTTACCAATTCCAAGGTCTTGTGAAGAGTTCTGACTTTTCATAGTCAAGTCATTTGTGCTCACATTCGACATAGTACTGTTGTTCAGTACAGTTGTATTTGCTGTTGTGTTCATAGACGTATTCCCTCTGATAATAATCTTATTCTTGATTTTAGGCTTCCTGATCTTATGTCTGACTCCAGAATTGATTTGGCCTGGACGCCTCTTACGTCTGCTAGAATGGGACTGCGAGAGTGGACGGCGGTGCTGGGTGGTTGTGACTTCAATAGCATTAGATATCTTAGCTGTAATATTGGGATTAAGCTCCGGATTGGTCTTCCCATAGAAAGACTTAGCAGAAAGGATTTCCTTAAGTCTATCAGAGTTGAAAAGAGACAACCGGGCTTTGGGCACAGTATTATCTAGTCTAGGATATTTAGAATTTGGACCGGAGTCAGATAGGCTGTCGTTTCTAAGTCTTTTGTGGCTCTTCTCGCTGTCGCAAGTGGATTCTGGGCTCTCTTGAATCTCTACCACTGAACGACGGTTGTGGCCCAGTTTGGGAGGCGACTGGTTAGTTTCAGTCGTATTGTGAGGTGTCTTGAGCATCTGTGTGGGGGATAGCACACTGCTCATATCCATTTTAGTCAGGCACACCACAGCAGTCTTCATTGGAGAGATATTCTTCTTCTGTTCCATCAGGATTCCCTTGAAGTTGAGGAACTGGGGTGTCTTCTGATTACGCTTGGATCTACGGATAGATTTAGTTGGAGTGTTTTCTTTAGAGTCAGTTCCTGAGTCGGTATCGAAGTTGAGGTCTTTCAGAGAGCTGCTACAGCTTTCTGTGTCAGCAATAAGGCTTGCAAGGCTCTTTCTGGCCCTGCTTGAGGTAGATGAGGTGGTGTGCACACTGTTGCACGAGTGAGTCGATGACGGTGTGCCTGGGTGGTTGTGGAAGTGTGGTGTGGCCGGGGTAGATAAAGAACCAGAGCATTTTTCTGGGCATGAGTACCGAGTTTGGTACTTCTTGAGTGTGAATGGAGATTTGATGAAGTTCTTCAGATCTTGGGTCTCTTTGAACCTTTTCGTTTGGCTCCTTGTTTCAGCTGTAACAAAAGAAAATAGGTTAATGGATATAAGTTTAGGGTAAATTAAAGTGTGGTCTTATCTATCCACACCAACCAAATCTTAAGGTGACCTTTTATAATTGCAGTTTAACATAAATAATTATGCTATGTGAGCAATTATATAATTTTAAATAAAGAAAACATTAACCTTGAACAATGCAAATGTAGTCAACTGCATAATGATGAAAAAATATTGTCATTGGTTTTTTGAAATTTGTTATATTTTCATAGCTGTCTCTTGTTCCTAATTCAGACAATTAGATGACAAGATGACCTACTTTACACAATGATAAACAATGGCTTTAACTTTAAAAGCTAGCAAAAATCATTGGAGGTTATACTACGGAATACTACCATACAAAAACATGCCCTAAAGTCAAGTAAACTCATAAATTATAAGGGTGTACAAGATCTATCAAAACAAGTGATTTGTTTATTAACTGAATAGGTTCAAATGAGTTCACCAGATCTATTTTGGCAATCATCAATTACATGGGTCATTGGCCTAAGAATCAGTGCCATAGTACAATGTTATCGATTTCAGCTTTCAAATGACAAACTGATCAAACATTAGAGTAAAAAATACGTGAAAAATACCACAAAATGGGGTGAAAGTGACAAAACAAAAAAAACTTACGCCATAGATTTCTATTGGGTTTCCTCGGCGTGCCATGCTCAGTCTCGTCTCCTGAGCTGGAGTCCAGGGTACTGATGATGCCCAGGTCGCAGTCCTCGCTGTCACTCTCACTATCCACGACCGGGAGCCGCCGGTGGGTCGTCAGAGACTCCCTTGTTGGCTCCATGTCGCCTTGGAATAACCCCTTCTTTCTTTCCGACATTTTCGGCGTGTGGGCATGAGGGATGCGTGATGAGCGCCGCGGCGTCGTCGCAGCCATTTCTCCGATGTTAAACATTCACAATTTCACTAAATCACACACAGTCACGATGGCAAGTGAGCATGGAATGAGCAAGTAGATTATTTCTCTGAGCTTTTATCTGATGGACACGCACAAACACAACACATTTTGAGTCTCATTAACTAACGATGCTAATTATTACATCTATGCGTCAAAATCAATTAGATCACTCGGTAAAACGTGTAGAAAACAAGAAATTAACGCTTCTCCAAACGTTAGCCAGCAGCAACCATTGTTGTTTGGCGCGTAAACATCTGTCACCTGCTAGCTGTTGACAGTTTTATTTTTTTAGGACGCTTACTTTGTAAACGTGGATTTTTTATTTATTAATGACACACCGATTAATCTGTTTATAAAACGTTACTTATTAGTAGTTTAATTCTATTTAAATATAAAAACTAAAATCTTATGTATTTTGTAGAGAGATAATAGCTGAAAATTAATTGTGGCACAAAAGCTAATGCTCAATGCCATAAAACGTGTTCCCGCCATTAAACTCAAACATGTTTTTCCACTCTTCGGTCTTTTGGAGTTAAATATTGCTTTGGAAAAAGCGCGGGAAACGTCGGGCGGTGTAGACGTCTTTCTATGGTTTTATTATTTTTTGTTATNAATATTCTGTTTAACAGTTTATTGAGTTATAAGAAAAAAGTCATAAATGGTCGATAATTAAAATACTTTCTTTAATTTTTCATCTCAAAGTTTTTGAAATTCTTAAGTGGGCAATAGCTATACGGTTTACCCTAATTGTTAAACAATTTTGGGGTGGAGGTTATAGACTCCAACGTGCAATCAGTCCGATTCTCTCCAATAGAATCAATGTCAAAAAGGAACGAATGAATAAGTATGAATGAGTGACTGATGTTTGCATTGAACACTTTGCTCGTGCAAAGGCGGTCAGATCGCATCAATACAAAATGTATAGAGACCGACAATGTTGTTATACACGGTGCGGGCTGCGTTCACTTTGATCTGACCGCAGAACGCACCCAGTGTGGCAAATCCTTAATTGGACTCTTATAACGTCATCAATATTGCACGCTGCAGTCAAAGATAGGTGTTTATTTGCTTTAAGTAACACTCGTAACAGTTCTGGAAATGAAGAGTACCTACTCATAGTTTATCTAAGGAAATTAAGTACTCGTAGGTACCTACTTACAATATCTTTATTAACAATATTAGTTAACAGTTGAACCTATCGGCTGAACCGATTTTATCTGAACTTTTACTGCTATCTTTTTATATAACTAAAGAGATTTAATTTTTTGTTTGTTTGTATTGAAGCTCCGAAACAACTGGACTGATTTGAAAAATTAAAATCCTAAGTTATTTCTGATCAACATAGGGCGTTGTGAAGTCAGTCGGGGCAGCTAGTGTTACTTTAAGGAGTTTCTTTAAAAAAGTTCAAACCCACGAAATTGTGAACAAAATCAGACACTGCCTAAAATTCCACCCAGTAAGTCTAATAACAAGAAGTATGATTTTGTATGTTATTAATTATTATTATGCCCCAGGAACACGTATCTGTGTTAGTAAACACCCAGTCCAGTTTAGTGGATTTTACAGCTCTATAGCGAGGTGAAACTAGAATTTCTAGACCTCGATTCTAGAGACACTTCTAGAAACTTAGATTTAGATTAGATTTCTATATATTATTAACTGACCCCGCAAACTATCACTTACTTACTGCCTAGTAGCCATGTCGTATTGTATTTTTATTCAGAGGACGATGCACATGATGATGATGACGCAACCTTGACTTCTTAGACGTAGTAGGATTTATTACGAATTCTGTAAAAGTGTTCTTGAAAAGCCAAAAAAAGTATTAGTTTACCTTTAATTTGGGAAATCCCCTAGTGTACCCAGGGCTTAACAGCATCTTAACACCCGAGACCCCAATAAGAGCAAATCTGCATACTGCAGATAATGCTTTGGAACGGGTTTGCCTTTACATAGCAAGTACTGTATAGTTGCGCAGTGGCAGGAAAGAGGTCAACTAAGTTCAATCTAATACCTGAACCGCGCAGGTGGTTTCTCCTTGCGTTAAGTTAAGAACATGTGTTCTGTGTTGTGAGACAAAACATATTAACGCCCGTATTCACAAACGATACAAATCGAACGCACAGCGTTGAATAGAGCTCTGTGATTGGTTCGTGTGATCGTGTGTCACCGTGTGTGTCCACGCGCACTGTGAGACCTCTTAGTAATGTTTTTGAATACGGGCGTATAAAAATATTTGCTAGTGTAGGTCTTTACTTTCTTTAAAATCGTATTTTTTGTTTCTTACTATCGGCGATCGGATTTAAAGATCTTGCAACAAATATTGGGGAAAGAAATAGGCTAGTTGCCTAAAAAAATTTTTTTAGTCCGTAATGTTTAATATCAAAAAATATTGGACACATATATTTTTATTTGTCAATCTAACAAATAATTACATAGTTATGGTGCGTTGAAGTTGCGCACGACGTCACAACGTGCGGCATTTTTAAGCAAGCGTTGACGTCACGGGCCTCTTCTTATGAACTTTGGGGCGCTTTATCTCTTTAAATTTTCATTAGTTTGAAAAAGTGAAAAATACGTGTAGAGTATTTTTTGATAAGTTAACTGACGGACTAATTAAAACTCTTGCTTTTTGACCCAGGCAACATCCCCATTGTGGTCTTCTTCTATCAAGAAAAGCATTTCAAATCAAGAATTTGTTTTTCAAGGAATAACTTTCAGTCCGTTTTAGACTACAAATAGGCTAGTTTCCTAAAAACAACATTTAGTCCGTCAATGACATTATCAAAAAAGATTGGAACGTATATTTTTAGGGCGTATTCCTTGAGGATTCACAAAATTGTTTGGGCCGTATCCTTTTGCCCTGATAAACTCGTTAGCATTCTTGAGTAACTTCGTAAAGTACCTTTGGTTACAACGTACAATGACATCATTTGATAAGGCTATAGAATATTAGCGTCTGAACGAAACACAAAATGTGCTTGACATTGATACTAGTAGAGATAAGGTGTTATAAAAGAAAAAGCCAAATATTTGCATATTGTCATCAGCTACTTCATCTTTGAATTTATTGCGACATTTTTTAAGCCTTGCAATAATTGCAAGGCCGTAAAAATTTCGTTGAATCTATACTATTCTATGTATGTATTAATATAATGTATCAGCTGCTAAAATAGTTCGCCTAATTTTTTCGAAGAAGCCTGAAATAAGGGATGAAAGACAGATCGTAATAAATCCTTTTTGTGATAAAGAAAGTAGTACGCACAGTCTTCGGTTTTTTATTCTTCTCTTCGTCTTTTATGACTGAAGTGTTTCTCTCTTTATACTCTGCAAGTCATTTGATCGAATGTCCTAAAAGGCACAGGTATCAACCATGGCAGATTCTCATCACGTTGTACATCGCCAAGGCGATATTGAAGGTTTCCGCAGTGTGAACTTAGTCATCCTGTACTGCGTGTTATTTGGAGCTTTCCTTAATGTTTTTAATAGCATATTTAAAATGTATGATAAATACCAACCACCATGGTTCTTAGTAGAGCTGTAGATCCTGACTACACAGGATTTGCAACGGTAGCTACGAGAGGTGGGAATAGTAAGCACAGTCACGGTTAAATGAAAATAACTATTTAGTGAATATAGCAAAAATCACCCAAGTAATGTCGTATCTACCATTACAAATGCAATGACCCATGCGACTTGAATCATGATGCATTACGACCACGCCTTCAAACTAAAGACGCCATTGTTACAAAAACCAGATGTAAGAAAAGTAGTCTTAAATCAGGAACCAATTATTCCAGTACAGTTGGCCATGAAACTGATCTTCCTAAAACGTCACTTGTTAACATTCCAAACGAAACAAATATAGTACGAAAATATGCAGTTGATTTATAAAATCATTACAACGATTACCTATGTATAAAGTACATATTATTTTCGCGGCTAAACGACAGATCAGATTGCTGATGATAATGATTCAACACAGTGGAAAATACCAAGAAGTTTCAACGGTCATACATCCAAACTTTCATGGAAGGCTTTCGATTTGTTCTTCTGATTAACTTCGTTGCGGGTACAATGACAGTTTATCTTTCGCCCGGGACATCTTGACCTTCACTGGTTGTGTTTTTATTGGCTGTCAAGCTGTAGATCCTGGCTACACAGGAGTTGAGTTGAACGAACGAGGTGGAAATAGTCCCGTTATTGTAATGTCGGTATGGTTATTTTGCACTGTTTTCAAAGAGTAACCTTTATTTTAGACGGGATGTTGGAAACAACACTGATGATTTAAAACTATGTAGAATGATATAATTTCCCACTAGAGTAGTACTCACAAAACGAGAATGTCGTAACTGGCCAGTTGCGACTTCCTAGCAACATAGTTAAGCTGCCATACATGTACAGCGTCAGTGCGCAACATCCTAAACATATTAATTTCGACACCCCTTTTTGACTTTCTAGGAGTAAAACATATTACTCGTTATGTTACGTATTCTGTGAGATTGTGAATACTTGACCTAGAAAATAATATGGCGAAAATAATAACACGTATGAAAAAAGAAGCATCACTCGTTCGTTATCTTTGATATTTTTAATGAGAAGGACATTCTGATTTTCTATATATCTATTCTATATTCTATATATCTATATATATAAAAATGAAACCCGTTTCGCGTTGTCACGGCATCACGTGTGAACGGCTGAACCGATTTCGATCATTCTTTTTTTTAAATGTTTGTGGAAGTCCAAGGATGGTTCTTACGGAAAAAAATATTAAGAAAATCTCTACGCTAAGGCGGTACGAAGTTCGCCGGGTCAGCTAGTTATATTATAAATGCGAAAGTAACTCTGTCTGTCTGTCTGTCTGTCTGTCTGTCTGTCTGTCTGTTACGCTTTCCCGCTTAAACCTCGCAACCGATTTTGATGAAATTTGGCATAGAGATAGTTTGAGTCCCGGGAAAGAACATAGGATAGTTTTT